TGAATGTAAAAAACCCCCCCCCCCCCCCCCCCCCCCCGTTGTCTAATTGCTGTATCCAATATGTCAGAAAACAGATGCCCAGAATGAACATAAAAAAAACTACAAAAGAGTTCACAATGGGCAGCGACCACAACAATAAAAGATCCGCTTAAACGGCACTTTTAGTCGGCCTGCGCTGGCTGAAAATGATATTTGTGTCACTTGAACCACGAGGGGAAATGCGCCCTCGGTCATACTTTTCACCGCAAAGTGGAGATGAGGTGACCCGCACATTTGGTAGTCCTCCAGCTCACGCAGACCTACGTGGTTGGTCGTCACAGGCTGGCTGCCATCAGCCAGACGTCAGCGCACCTCATTGGGAGGCTGGTCCGCGTCCATCTTGGAGCGCCGCCACCTCCGCCATCATTCGGCACCGCTCTGCGTGTTGAAACTCTTAATGGAATCACAAACTGGCACGCCGCGGTTTGATTTGGCGCAGTCAACAACCACCCAACCGCCCGTTAGCGGTGCCAGCCAGTGGAATATCTTTGCTGTGAAACAAAATCTGCCACTGAATGCAGACCGGTGTGAGAAAACGAGCACACTGACGCGTTCTTATATTCAGCGGCCGCTGTTGTTCATCTTCCGTCCATCCATTTTCGATTGCACTTACCCATACGAGGGTTGCGGGTCAACTGGCGCATACCCCATTTGGGTGAGAGACCCGGTTTATAACCTGGACTGGTGGTCAGTGCGTCACATTAAAACAACCATTCGTGCTCTCATTCACTCCTGTACAGCGGCTTTTAATCTCTCGCAGTTAGATCAAACCGGACATAGCGATATCTGTACAACATAAGTTTGATTTTACAGGAAATTCATCCGTGGTAATAATAGGTATTACTTTTTACAATTTGCGGATTGAACACTTTCAACTGCGGCATTGCTTTACAATGTACGCACTTGTTCCAGTTGCCTACCCTCATCGGTTCTAGAAATCTTACGTGACTGCACTTTGTCTCATTTAATTGAGACACTTTTTTTTTTTGTTCCCCCTCAAGTACCAGCTGTGTTTACCCTCAAACTGCTACCATTAGGCATAGTGAAAGGTATATTAACAGTGCGCTTAAAACACTCTTGACCCCCGAGGTCTCCTCTGAAGTGGCTCGGCGAGGACCTCTAATTGCTTCTCACCAACAATGACAGCATTCCTCCAGCGAAAGGGCTCGTTTATTCTTGTATAGTCCAAAAAAATGTCTTTTTTTATCTCGAGATTGCCCGGTTTGCCGCAGCTGCTTTGGTAGCCATTAATCTTACACGCACCTGATGAATGGACTCGGGTCTCCCCATCGGTGCCATGAATACAGTGTAGAATTTTTGCATGCCACACGGGCACTGTCATTGCATTTCATTTCCTGCATGCTCTTCAGAGGAAGAGGCGCCTTTGAGGTGGAGCCAGCATTTGAGGCCAAATGTCAGAGGTCGTTCCACATTAGTGCTGCCGATCAATCGCGGGCCTTGCGTAACTCTCCTCCTCCTTTTGTCTGGAAAGGAAGTGGATTAGCGAGTGGGACCTGGGATGATTAGTTAGGCCTGTTTAAAATGCATGCGCTCACAGATGCCTCCGAACATGCACTCCAACGCAGAATGGACTAGGTTGTTGTCGACGCTCGTTAGTTCCGTTTCGACCGAATCATTGGAAAAAAGGGCGATGCCGTGGTCCCTCATCCTGACATATGCGATGCGGGCCTTGAAGTAATCGGGCACTTCAAACTATGGCCGTCAGCAAGACACCGTGGAAGAAAGACCTCCAGGTGATGATTGGTGACCTGCCAAATCTTGCCGTTTTCTAACCCAGAATTTGGCTGGTCGCTAGAGCCATGTGATGTTTATTTATACAGTCAAAGATCACATAGTGTTGGCACTACGGACCCACAACAGCAATGTTCCCAGATTAAATCCACTCTAACGAGCCAAATAGTGCTGACAAAAAGCAGAGGAAACGGAACGTTGACTGCTTAATGATTTGTGAAGGGTGGGCAAAAAAAACAAAAAAAAACCCAGATGATGATGATAAGGTTAATAAATTCAGTGAAATAAAGCGAAAGATTTTTTGGTTTTCATTAGTGGAACTGTGAAGAGTGTCTTCACATGTGGTGTGCCCTCAACTTTTTTCCTCCTCTTTTGGTTTTTCCTCCCTGCAGTGCTCTCTCTCTCAAAATCGCCTACTCCTTGTATTCAAAAATGACACCTCAGTCCATTTTTTATTTTATTACAGTACTTTTTTTTTCTCGCATTTTCCAAGCAAGATGTTTATGTCCTCTCAACTTTTTTTTTTCTCGCATTTTCCAAGCAAGATGTTTATCCAGACCTGAACATCTGAAATTGTTTTCAAATGCCGTACCAGATAGAATGTCAATATTTAAGTCTTTGTTATCTCTTGATTCCGCTCCTCCAGAAGCCGCTACAATTTATAAAATATGAAACTATCAGAGGACTCATTTCCTACAGCCCGTTTTTACAGTATTGATGGCTTGATTGCTCAACAGATAGCATTCCACAGTTTAGCACCCTTGGCCCATCTCTCCTCAGCGCTACGTGTGTCCGCCCAGTCATGCATGCAGGTGTAGCTACTGCAGCTTGTGTCATGTTCTGCGCATTAAAGTGTTTCCCATCTCACCTCTCAAGTATTTCTTCATGTTCTCTTGAGCCCACGTGTCTTCTCGGGCAAAGGACGATGTATCAATAGGGGTGCACATTTTTTCCATTTCCGCTCACTCAACTCAATCGCACAGAAAAACTCCACTGGAAGACGTCGGCCACAGATCATGTACTGCACACTCACGCGTACGGGGGCGGGGGGGTGTAAATGACGGACAATTCTTGACTGAAGGCGGTAATATATTTTAATTCCCAAGCCAATGAAAATATAAATAAATATGCTCACACCGCATATAAATCTTTTTTTTTTTTTCGCCACAGATGTGTTCCATATTAATGTACAAGTGTCATTATTGTAGATGTGGAGCCGGTTCATCTGTTCACTGCGCACAATCCTAAAAATCTGGAACAACCACCCGCATACACACCCTTACATGCGTCGCCACCTCTGTATGGTTGCGGGTGCGTTGGGCATGCAAGAGTGCATTGCAATCATGTTTCCCCACCAAACACGGCGACCGCTTCATCCTTTTTGTCTTTGAACTGTTCCAGGTGCAGTACAGTGATGCGCAGGGCGGCAAGGACTTTGTGACCTATCTGACCCTCTCTCCTGTGCAAATGACTTTCCACGGCACCGGGAGCACCCTCCAAGCTAGCCATGATCAGGTACATTTAACTCATACCTAAGGAAGTAACCCTTGCTCATAAAAAGTTGATCAAATAACGGCAAAACACAACTTACTCTGAGGGCAACATTGTCGCTTTGCCATTGCAAAGTCATTTGTTTTCGTTGCCCAGCAGTCCAATTTGCGGCTGCACAATTAAGAGACAAAATCAAATTGTCATTTACCATTGCTTACAAAACTCTGATATGAAACATGCAATCAGGAAACTTAATTATATTTACACTGATTAGCCACAACTTTGTGAGCACCTGCACACACAGACCATTTGGATATTATATATAGTTGTAATTTGCAAATCTAGTTTGCATTGAGATTTAGTCGCTGAGACTTTAATTTTGTAGGGGGGTGGGGCTGTCAAGAGCATCTTGTCATCACTTGTCGTGCGCCCTCAACTTTTTCCCTCCTTTTTGGGTTGTCTCACTGCAACACTCTCTCGCCTACTCCTTGTCTCGAAAAATGACACCCTTTGTCTTGTGTTGCCCAAGCAGAAAACTACTTGCTTACATTCTATCATCTAAACATAGGACGCCCCTTTGTTCGGCACTCTTCAAAGCTTTCATAAAAAGGGCCGGCCCTGTTCTGAATGGGCCAGCTGACATGGGGGGGGGCAAGTGCCGCCGCCACGAAGGGAGAGCCGAGCCAATATAGGCCATGCAGGTCTGCGTCCTCTGGACCTGTTGTTGCCAGGAGCACTGGGGCATGACCGACTGTTGGCGAAGGCCTTTTCTTTGCCTCTTCCCTGTACAGTGAAAACTGTGGCCACAAAGGGAGGACCCAACAATGAGGGTTCGGCATCAGCAGACCCAAACATTGACACTTGAACAAAGTAGGCCGAGAGGCGTCAAAGAGTCGGTCACTTCATCAAAGACGGCCGCGTCGGCCGCTGCCGCCATCGGCCGTCGGCTGCCGGAGACACCAAAGCCGTTGAGCTAGCCTTTAAATCTCAAGCCACAAGTGCGCGCTGATCACCGCATTTACATGTGTTTTCCCAGGGAGAGAGTTATTTTAGAAATGCACGCAGCCGATGACTGTTTATCAGCCTGCCTGTGGAACATGTGCATGTAATATGGGCTGGCGGTAACGAACAGATCCTGACAGACCGCAAACGTTGAACAATGGATTGAGAAAACATGCTTCCACAAATGTCACCGTGTCATCAAAGCCTCGCATGCATGTGCTACTTTAGCGTGAGCGTAAGTCATCATTTAATGGCTGATTTTCAACCCCAATGCCAATGTGTCCGGGGACCAGTGGAGATACCTGTTTGAAAGTAACTTTTGTTCCCTTAAACATGTGGAGGGTGACATCGACCCCATTGTCCGGATACAATCAAATATCAAAAAAAAATGTTTTGGTGGTAGCGCAAGCTTTAATCTGGCCGGTGTTGCGTGAATGCACATCGATCTGTCTGGCTTGCCAATTAATTGTTTCCACGTGTTTCCTGTGCCACATGTTGTCCTTGGCTTGCACTCTTCTTCCTCACACACACACAAACGCACGTTTTGCACTTTTGCCTGCGTGATTACAGATTGTAAATTTGATTGAGCTTGGCCTCTATGAGATAAATCGAGTAATGTGTGTCTTGGGTGCCGTTATCTCAGTTAGACAAGTCATGCTGGCATCTTTTGTTTTTTTGATATATACACACTGAATATGAATAACACCCCGCTACCCAATGTACGGACAAAATGCATGCTTCTTAATTTAGTTTTTAAAAAAATCCAAAAGTCTTGTTCAATCTTAAGTCGTGGCTTTGTGGCAACAGTTAGTGGAAGCCTGCTTGAATGATTTTGGTGTGGAAGAACTTGAGGGCTTCTACCCCGACCAGATGAATAAACAAATGAATGAATGAATGACCCTCACAAAAGCTTTTATGAATGACTCGGTGACCAGCTCCATATTTTATCCAGTTTTCTATCCCTGTAGACATAATGGCCTGAGCGCTTTAGCCTACGTAAAAGATGCCCACATGGATATTGAGTCGTTATTGATGGCATCCGGAGTGCTTTCTGTCACGATTTAGAATTATTCCAGGAGAAAAACAAGTCTTGTACAAGACATTTGTCCGTGATTGCGAAAACTGTGGCCATGCCTTTTGATTCATAGCAGATATGTCATTTTTACAATGCGGCTATTTATCTACCACAGACAAGCCGAAGACAATGCCGCGCTTGAATGTCGTGATTCCTTTTTGCAGACATTCTTGAAGGCATAGTATTTGTTGAGTCAAATTAGAGAGAGTTGCATCGCTGAAGTCTTCCTGACCTGGTATGCCATCGGCTCAGTACCATCTGCCAAACACATGTGAGCCTGTAAGGAATCTCCACGCTGGCGGAGGCTCGCTTAAAGCCAAGGACTGTCAATGCACTTTTAATTCGGCCTGCCCGTGCATTTTAATGACATTGGTGTCTTGACTTATAAGTGTCCTGATTTCAAAGTTTTTCAAGTTACGAGCCTGCGGCACCCAAGCCGCACCTACTCGGGCTTCGAAGCGGTGCTCTGTAGGCATGGGTAATCGATCTTCTGCTGTTACACAAGTTTGGTTATTCTTAGTTTGATTGCTCATTCCTGGAGCGGGACGGAGGGATAGTGTTGTCTTCTTTTCCCTACCTACAATAAATAATTGATAGAAGCTTGAACATTTCTTTTTCTGTAAATTAAAAACATTGTTTATATATTTACGTCATCTTTTATCACGTTTTTATATATTCTTATCAGAGGCGATGCTGGGTAGATTTGCGCCCCGGGCGAACCGTCGCTTGTCGTCTAGATGTTGATCATACCACCGATCATTTATACTCCATCATCGAATTGCTGCCTCCTCAGACATTCTTCATCAGTTTTGTCAAGATCAACTTTGGTAGGGCCCATGGACAAGCAGTCATATCTTGATGTCATTTTTAACTTTTTTTTTTTCCCCCCACCCTAATATTTAACAAGGCTCATTTCTGTGTTTGTTCTCCAGAGCTGAAGTAAGTCTCTGGCAGTCAGTCTGTGGCGGCAGTGGGACACCAGGGGGGCTGAGGCCCACTGGGCTGTATGTGAGGTGTCGCTGATGCAACATGAGCGGCCTGCAATCGAAAATGACAGGGGTGACTGTTGTCTCCCACCAGCCTCTCTCCCTCGATGTATTTGTGTGTACGGGCTTCTCATTGCGTGCAATAATGTCCTCAGCTGAGCCACCGCCATCCCCGGGGTCCTGTCTCCCAAATTGTCAGCTGCGGCTGATCAAATTTTCTGCAACATGAGCAAATCTAGTTGATTTCATTTGACACGTTGAACATAGTGGGGTGGGGGGGGGGGATGCTGTTATGCATTCATGTAATGGGGTATTGACTCAGCTTACTCATGTCCCCCGAAATGTTCTTTTCACGTGGAGTCGGAGGAGTACCGGCACTTTTTTTTTCTCCACTTAAAGCGCTGCCTGTAGGTGTTGGCAGCATGTGTTGTAAAGTGAACTCAACGAATGCGGCTGTGATAAAAGTCCTTGCTGCGTTCAATTGTCACAACTAGTCGTGAATAAGACAACTTTTTCGGGCAGTTAGTGACTATTCTAGTTATTTGGCATGTTAAGGTGGGTCAAGCGATGATGCCGAAGTGAGGATTGCGTCGTGTAAAGGTGTGTGGTTGCAGCCGGATTATCCATGGGACCGATGTCTTGGTGTGATGACTGCTGCCACGGTCTTCTCACATCCCCCGTGGAGGACGCGAGAACAGCAGGTGAGCTTGTGTTTGATGTGCTCCTTCCCGACTGGAGCGCAGACGTTACCCCAGGCTGGGCTCCTCTCAGGGGGTCTCGCTGATGCGTTACCCAACCAGGCAGGCAGCTGTCGGACAGCCTCTCCTCCCTGCTTCTCTGTCTACGCTTTATATGCCCAAACACTGCACCTGGATGGATCCTAAATCACTATATGTGTTGAAAGAGCATTCTGCGTTGACTGTTCCTGCAAATTGGGAGCATGGTTTCCTAAGTTTGGCAATGTGTTTTCGGAGGGGAGTCACCAATGATCCAAGTAAAATGTTTTCAAACATTTTTTTCAATTGTGTTGAGGAGGGATGTTCGATACCACTTTTTGTCAGATTGATACCTTTACTACTTTGGATATATAAAATTACATTTAACACAAACACCAAAAATTGTGAAACTTTCTGACGAAGATCATTGATTCGCTGATGTGTCAAGTAGTCGCAGTTTGGTGCCAATTACTGCCAAGGAGGACTCACTCGTTGGATTTTTTTAAAAAAAAAAAAATTTATTTAATGTTTTGCTTTTTGTGCCCGATATCGATAACTGATGTCGGTACTTCGCCCATCCCTAGCGTTGAGGCTTGTAGAGGACACAAAAAAAAAATCATTGTAATTTGTAATCATCTCCAACATTTTGCCCGCAGACCCGCGGAAGATGTTATGACAACCGCCATTCACATACATCACTTCAATACAATTTAAGTTGCACAAGTGACGTATTTTTCGTTCATTCCAATTATAATTATAATTATTTCGGAAGCTTAGCCATCGAACTAATCCGATTTACAATGTTGTTCAAAAACAAAGGAAAATAGCATTCTTGTGGTGTGTTATGGTGCCTTTGCTCAACATTTCCACAATGTCGACTGTGGCTTTGACACTGCGGTGACAGAACAATTGTCGGAATGTTTTGTTAATTTGGTATCAAATTCAGCCCGTCTGGGTGTCTTCTGCGTCGACCTCCTCAAAAACAACGGGCGCCATCAGGATGGCCGCTTCTGCGGACACAAAACTGCACTGCAAAACCGATAAGCTGATTCCGGTCAGGGAGGTGACCTATCAGACTTACCGCGCCAACTTTTAGTTCAGAATTATGGAATGTTTTGCACAAAACCTGTTTTTTGTTATTTCCAAATGTCCTGCCGTGATGCATGGTCGACTTTAAATTTAATGAAGGCGCTCCCAGATTGTAGGAGGTGGCAGCTCTCATCCTTCATCGTAATTAGCTCGCAT